TACCAGAAGCCTCGGAAGCTTCCGGACCACTCCCTTACTGCTCCGTGCCCGTTCCACTCGACGACGACAATCCTCTCGATAGTAACAACCTCGACACTTATTACCACTTCGCTGACCAAGGTTACACTACACCTCAACCGGTCGACACAAATAGCTCCGAACGCATCGGACCCAATTTCTTACCTGACCCCGAGGACGGAGACGCAGCAGCTTATCCCGAGAATGACAATTCCCCTCTGCACACACCCACGGGCTTGCAGATACTTGGACTATGGGTCGCCGTCTAGAGCCCGCCGCCGCCGTCACCACGCGAGCCAACGACCCTGTCGCAGGCTCTAGGGGGGGAACACAAGGCGAAATGGAAGGAAGCAATGGAAAAGGAACTGAAGGCCCTACAAGACCGAAATACATGGAAGCTGGTACCTGCAACAAAAACCAACGGGAAGAATGTGCTCTCGGGGAAATGGGTGTACCGCATAAAGACTAATGCGGATGGCTCCATCGACCGCTTCAAGGCTCGCTGGATCGTACGAGGATTCGACCAGCGATACGGAACCGACTACACGGAAACTTTCGCCCCAGTCTCCCAACATACCTCCTGTGCATTCTGCTTGCCTTCGCGGCCACGAAAAAGCTACCACTGCGCCACATCGATGTCGCCAATGCCTTCCTGTACGCACCTGTGGACGCCGAAATATTCGTCGAGCAGCCCCACGGATTCATAGATGACCCGACAAAAGTGTGCCAACTGGTAAAATCCCTCTACGGAATCAAACAAGCCCCGCGGCTCTGGCAGCAGCACGTTCACGGCCGCATCGTCAGGATCGGCTTCCTGCAGCTGCCGCACGATCAAGGGATGTACCGACTACAGAAGGGGGGGGATTTCGTCCTACTCATCATCTACGTCGATGACCTGCTCTACATCGGCTCCACTACCGACGTCGTCACCTGGTTCGAAGGGGAGCTGAGGAGTGACTTAACACTCACGGTGTTAGACCCCGTGAGCCAGTACCTAGGTCTGAACGTCGTCGAAGACGACTCGGTGTTCTACCTACACGCCGGAAAGTACGCAGGCGTTGTCATGAAGAAGTTCGGATTAACGCCGATCGTAGTCGCGACTCCCTATCGCTACGGGAACAACAGCGACACCTTTGCAAAGCTCCCCGCGAAGCAAATCCAGGAATATCAACAGAAGCTCGGCTGTCTACTGTTTGCAGCAGTAACCTGCTGACCGGATCTGTTCTACAGCGCTAGCCAACTGGCGACACACCTGAAGCAGCCGGAGCAAGAGCATCTCGAGGAGCTAAACGGGCACTTCTCTACTTCCTCTCTACACCGACGACCGGATTTACCTACAGCAAAGCAATGCCATCGTCCGTACAACTACTCGGCTATATCGACGCCGACCACGCGGGAGATAGGGAGAATCATCGCTCCAGAATGGGCTACATCTACCGACTAGAGCCTATCGCTACTATTTCATGGAAATCGAGCAAGCAGGAAATAATCGCGCTATCCTCGGCTAAAGCGGAATAAATCGCCCTCTCCTCTGCGACCAAAGAAGGACTTTACCTGCGGGAGCTGCTCGAGGAAGCGAAAATTGCGACCATGCCGGCCTTCTTGTTATTCTGTGACAACCAATCCGCGATCAAAATCGCGAACAAAAACGGGTTCGCCAATCGAACCAAGCACATCGCTCTTCGGTATTTCTTCGTCAAGGATGAGATCGCGAAGGGGAGACTTCAACTCAGTTACTGCCCCACGACAGAAATGGCTGCAGATTACCTGACGAAGAAACTGGCAAAGGTAAAGTTCGATTACTGCATGCTGCTGACTGGGCAGATAAACGTCACCGAATCCAGACACGTCAGCACTCCAGAAACGAAGGGGAGTGTTGGAAATACCTCGAAGACTTAAGCGTTTCTGAAGTGTAACACTACACTCGAAGGAATGTCGTATCGAGTACGCGAGTCAACGGAGGTTACACGAGGAGGTTGGACGAAAGAACACGAAAGGACGAAGGGACTCGAACGGTTGCAACCGGAGGTTGCGACCGACCGTTGCGACTGCAAGGATGGTAACCGAACCAACAATCGAGTCACTGTGCGACTCGATAACCGTTTCTTCAACTGTATTCTACAACTACTTCATTTCTTGTTTTCTATATATTGCTGTACCCTTGTTTCTTTTAATCAATCACTTGCTCTCACATACTTGTGCAAGGGTTCAACTAGTCAATACTTCCGCTGCACTACTCAAGCATCTTGTACAAGTGGGACTTAGTCTTTGGAAAGATCCAAAGGGCTTTTCTCAGCCCAACAAAATTCAAGGCCCTAGCAAGTGAGAGGCTACAGGAACGAGACCTAGCTATAAACAGTGCCGCTGATGATCTTTAGGCGCAAGCGCCTTCGTAAAGATATCAGCTGTGTTGGCACCGGAGGCCAAGTGTACTACGCAAGCTTGGCGCCGCTGCTGTAGCTCACGCAGAAGGAAGTACCGCAGCTGGATGTGCTTCGCTCTGCCCTCGAGTCGAGGCTCCTGACACAGGAGGATCATGGCCCTGTTGTCAGCATACACGACCGGGGTAGAGCTAGGCCGCTCACCTAAGTCAGTGAGCAAGAAGGTCAGCCAGCGGAGCTCCTGCACCGCCATGGCATCGGCGTAGATCTCGGCCTCACAGCTAGACCGGGCAACAGACGAGGAGCGGGTAGATCTCCACGAGGCCAGTGCGTCCCTGTCTGCAGTGGCGAAGACCAGGTCGTCTACGTAAACAAGGATGTCGAACGGAGTCTGGCCAGCACGAACGAAGAGCGAGGGGTCTGCAGAGGACGGAAAGAACTGCAGGTCAGCAAGGGTAGCACGCAGCGTGTCGTGCCACTCACGGGGAGCCTAGCGCAGGCCGTAGACGGGGCGCCGCAGGAGCCACTGGGTCCCAGGAGGGAAGGTACCAATGAAGCCCTGAGGGCGGCGCAGGTAGACCTGCTCGTGTAGACTGCCATGAAGAAAAGTAGTTGAGAAGTCGAGGGAGTGAAGCTCGTAAACACGCTGAGCTGCTACATGTAGCAGTACCCGAAGAGTAGTCATCTTTGGGGTCGGAGCGAAGGTCTGAAAGAAGTCCACCCCCTCATGCTGACTGAAACCTCTAGCAGCGCTGCGCGCCCTGAACACAGGTGGCTCTCCAGGAGGGTGCTTCACCTTGAAAAGCCAGCGGCCATCGAATACGTTCACCCCAGGTGGGGGAACTGCGTTGATATAGGTGCCGGTGGATCTCCAAGATGCCATCTCGTGCTCCATGGCAGCTATCCACTGAGAGGCCCAGGGTCCCGAGGTCGCCTCAGCGTAAGTGCGAGGGGTCGGGATGTCAAAAGCGTCTGGGTCACCCTCAGGGACTAGCAGCATGGAACAGAGATGGGGAGCAGCCTCGGACAGGAAAGCAAGCTCGTACTGGCGGTCCTCCAGGACGTCACTGCCGAGGGCAGGAGCATCCCCGACAGACGGAGGACAGGCAGGGTCAGAGACTGGAGCTGTCACATGATCGAATGTGTCGATGAAAGGTTGCACTATCGATTGATATAAGGTGCTTTTATACTTCCGAAGTACATCTGGTAACCAGGTTTATCCTATCCCAAGGGAATAGAACCTTCTAGAAAATAGAATCACCCTGCGTATAGCCACGCGAGGCTATTGGCTTTAAGGGATTACGTCAGGATTACGCTAGATATAGCGTACTAGTACATCCCGAGCCTGGTCGGTGATATAATCAAAATAACAGGATAAACCAAAAGGTTATGGAAAAGGAGAAGTAGGAATCCAAATGGAATGAGATGAAAACCAAATGGATGAGGAGAAAAACAGGAATGGAATAGAAAGGAATGGAACAGGGTCGTACTCACACTTCTCCCCCTCAAAGCTGGGTGGTAGACGAAACACCCTGCTTGACAAGGTATTCGCGAAGAGGACGACGAGCTTGATCCATCTCGGATTCAGAGACCCAGCTATCCTCTGAAGGATCATAACCCGTCCAACGGATGAGAAGCTCGAGGTTGCCACTCCGTCGACGGCGGTGAGCAAGTACTGACTTGACCTCGTACTCAGGTTCATTATGGACGAGGACGGGCGGTGGCGGTGGCGGTTGGTGTCCAGAGAAGACCGTGTTGGGATCTCGGTAGGGATTCAAGAGTTGGACAGGGAAGGCGTTGTGAATTTTCCAGGTAGCTGGCAAGCGTAAGCGGAAGGTAACAGGAGTGACCTGTGCTTCAATGAGAAAAGGCCCGCAGAAGCAAGGTCGCAGTTTGGATGGGAGATGGCTGATGTCAAGATTGCGCGTGTCGAGTAGTACTCGGTCTCCCACGGTGATGGTGTGGTCTGTGCGGTGGCGATCGGCCCAGCGCTTCTGTTGTTGCTGAATGTCGAGAAGGCGCTTGTGGGTCCGATCCCAAAGTGTGTGCATAGTCGTGATGAAATCATGAGCGGGTTGGACTGTGGCTGGTATGTTTGGCTGTTGAGGTGTGAGTGGGTGGCATCCGTAATAGAGGAAGAACGGCGTCTGTCTAGTGGCGGCGTGAGTAGCATTGTTGTAGGCAAACTCCAGGACGGGCAGATGCAAGTCCCATTTGGAGATGTCATCCTAGCAGGCTGCACGGAGGAGTTGCTCCACAATTTGGTTGAGGCCCTCGGTCTGTCCATCTGTCTGTGGATGGTAGGCGGATGACATGGCGAGTTTGGTCCCGAGTAGAGACATCAGTTCTTTCCAGAATTTACTGGTGAACTTAGGGTCTCGGTCGGAGATGAGTGTGGTCGGAATGCCATGTTGTAAGATGATGTAGCGAACAAAGAGTTGTGCCATCTCCTCGGTGCGTGCTGTGGTGTGTGTCGGGATGAAGTGTCCCATTTCGGAGAACTTGTCAATGACGACGAGGATCGCGTCATGACCGCTTGTGGTAGTTGGTAGCCCGGTGATGAAGTCTAGGCTTACCACTTGCCATGGCTGTTCTGGGACAGGAAGAGGCTATAGCAAACAACTCCTCAAGCGCTTATGATATGTCCGAGGAATTGGACCTTCTCGAGGGCGAAGTCGCTCTTGGATAGTTTGACATAGATGCGTTCTCGTCGAAGAATCTCGAAGACGCGTCGTAGGTGCTCGACGTGTTGTTGCATATTGCGCGAGTAGACGAGGATGTTGTCCACGTACACCACCACGCATTCGTCCAAGAGTGGGCGTAGGATATGATTCATTTCTGCTTGGAACGTTGCAGGTGCGTTGGTGAGTCCGAACGGCATCACCAGATACTTGTACGATCCGTACCGAGTTCGGAAAGCAGTTTTGTGAACGGAATCGTCCGCCATTCTTATCTGCCAGTATCCGGACCGCAGATCTAGTTTGGAAAATACCGTGGCTCCCCGAAGCTGGTCAAGCAGGTCATCGATTTGTGGAATTGGGTATTTGTTCTTGATGGTCTGCTTGTTGAGAGCTCGGTAGTCGATGCACATGTGCAGGCTTCTGTCCGGTTTCGGTGTGAAGAGTACTGGGGCACCGTATGGCGAAGTGGATGGTCGGATGAGTCCTTTGGCGAGGAGATACTCAATCTGTTTCTTCATGTCAGGTAGTTCTGTAGGGCTTAGCCAATATGGTGCTCGGAAGTTCGGCTTCGAACCTGGTTCCTCCACGATCTCGTGTTGATGCGTTCGATATGGCGGTAGCTCGTCCGGGAGGTCGTCGGGAAGAATGTCTTGGAACTCCTTCAGTAAGTCCTTGATTTTTTCTGGAGGTTCCGAGGCTTTCTCTCCGTCATTCTCCACCTCTGTTGCTATCGCCAGGAATCCGGTGTTGGTTCGTTTCACATCCTTCTCGATCCTGGCGAGTGTCTCCAGTGGGATTTCTCCTGTATCGTCATAGTTGGGTAGCTGGACTCTCCTTCCTTTGTTGTAGATGCTTGCGGTGCAGTTTACCCAGTTGATCTCGGGGTTGAATTTCTTGAGGAAGTCTTGCCCGAAGATCAGGTCAAGCCCGACTGTTCGTGTCGTTGACGAAGTTGCCAAGTTGGATGCATCCGAAGAAGGAGTTTCGGGGTTTTTGCAGCTTCTTGTAGACCCCCAGCTTCCTGTTGAGCTGCTTCAGCTCCACCGACGTCTTCCCTGGGGAACGGGTAGTCGCTGTGGGCTGGTGTCGGGAGAGGACGTTGACTCCGTGGAAAGGTCGGCTTCTTTCCACACTCCTTAATTTGGTCCCCAAGTTCTCCGGTACCGGTACGATCTCCATAATTTTATGCTTCTTCTGGAGTCCCTCTCGAAATTTCTCCAAGGCTCTAGCCCCTCGAGAATTACAAGTTTTCATTAAAGCATATTTATCAGATAACTTTAACGAATCCTCATAATTTCTTGGGTCTTCAAGGAGTTTCCCCGTCTTGGCAGAGTCCTTTTTCGCGGAGTTTGATTTTTCCTCGGCGATTTCCTCTGGCAAGGACTGGTCGTGGGGTGGAGATTTTTCCCTATCATTTTCTCCTGTTCGCGTCGAATCAGCTGTGTCGAAGTTGATTTTTCCGGAAGTCCGCGGCCGATTTCGGATCTTTTCTTTTTCGCCAGCTAGATCCGCAATTACTGGCGAATCCCGTTTTTTGGCTTCTGATTGGCTGAAGGATTTCCGCCACTGTTGCGTGCCCGATACTCAGCGCGTGCGGCTTTCATTTTGTTGCAGTCGAAGATTCGATGACCCGGCACCCCGTAGAAATCACACATGTAGTTGGTGCCTTTCGGACGTGGCCGCCCTTTGAACCTGTCGACTTCCATCGGGTCGGCGAACGTGGGGTGAGCCGAGCGGTTGCCCTGTCGCGTACTGCCGACGTGCGCCCGTCGTGTCCCACCGTTGACCATGTCGAAGCGTTCCGCGGCCGATACGACGTCACTGTAGCTCGCGTAGTTTGTCGCTGCCACTTGTCGTTTGACTTTGGTCTTCAGCCCGGCAAGGTACGACTGCACTTTTTCCCCTTCGGTCAGATCGGGAATGCGGTTATAAAATTCTTCCATCTGCTGCGTGTACTGTGCTACACTCTCGAACTGTCGATGGCGATGATTTCTTTCCCGGGCAAGGAAACCCGAATTTATCGGCTCGAAGCGTTTCAACAGGTCGGTGCAGAACTGCTACCACGTGGCTTCGCCGTGGATGAAGGTGTTGTTGCCGCCGATCCACTCGAGTGCCAGCCCTCACATCAGTGTCGCCGCGAGTCGTACGCGTTTTCCATCCCAGACAGGTGAGCTCCATCCGACGGCTGCGAAGTAGATCTCCATGCCGGTGATCCATCTGCGGACGTCGGAATTTCGATCGCTCGGATCGAACGGCTCAGGTGGGCGCGGTTTCGGAGGCTTGAGAAATTGCTGCGACTGCTGCGTCGTCGCCGTTGTCGTTTCGTGTTGCGCGCCTGCGAGTCGAGTTACTCGCTCGAACTCTTGTCGCCAAGCTTCGCGGTCGGCTCGCATCTCCTCCCGCAGGGCGGCGATGCTTGCGAAGAGCTGCTGGGTAGCTTCGGCGTTGTCGAAGTTCGCCATCCTGTTCAATACACGCCCGCAGGGGGTAATTCGAAAAACTCGGAGCTGGTGCTTACCAGAATCGGCGTTGAATTGGTCGCCCCCGGCGGTTTTTCGAGGCAGGAGTCTCGCTGCTGCTGCTTAGCTGAGCGCGGCCGAGTGAGAAAGCTCTGATTACCAAGTGTCACAGGATTGAATGTGTCGCGGAAAGGTTGCACTATCGATTGATACAAGGTGCTTTTATACTTCCAAGGTACATCAGGTAACGAGGTTTATCCTATCCCAAGGGAATAGACCCTTCTAGAATATAGAATCACCCTGCGTATAGCCACGCGAGGCTATTGGCTTTAAGGGATTACTGCAGGATTACGCTAGATATAGCGTACCAGTACATCCCGAGCCTGGTCGGTCATATAATCATAATAACAAGATAAACCAAAAGTTTATGGAAAAGGAGAAATAGGAATCCAAATGGAATGAGATAAAAACCAAATGGATGAGGAGAAAAAGAGGAATGGAATAGAAAGGAATGGAATAGAAAGGAATGGAATGGGGTCATACTCTCACAAGAGCGGTGGCGTAGTCAAAACGGCGGGTAGATGCGAAGTCAGCAACCATAGCAACAAGAGCGTCATGACGCGACACCGGAACAGACGGGTGGGTATCGAGAGAGGCAAGGACCCGAGGAACAAGAGGATGAGCGGTACGAAGGTAGTCAGACAGAGGCGAAGGCGCAACGACAAGGGAGGACGGAGGAGGCGACGGGAGGAGGGGAGGATGAGACACGTGGGAACGAAGGAATATCGGGTGGGAGTGCGAGTCAGGGGAGACAGGGCGAGCACGGGAGGGACGGCGCGACCAGACGTGCGACGGAGGCGTCGGGTCAGGAGATAGAGGAGGAGACAGAAGAGGGGAACAAGGGGGGAGACGAGCCAGGGACGAGTCCGGGGGAGGGAACACAGGGCCGTAGACCGGAAGAGGAGGGGACGGCAGGAGATGAACAGACGCAGTGTCAAGGAACGGAAGGCCGAGCAGGCGAAGGGCTGACACCGGCGGGGACGGCGGTTGCTGCGGCACAACACCGACGCTAGGGTTGAAAGCGGCTCCACGGCTAGCGTCGAAATACTCCACTCCTGCACCCCCAGAAGGAACACCCCCAGAGCCAGAAACCCCTCCAGCACCACCAGAGGCGACGAACGGCTGGGGCTGCGGTGACGGCGGCTGCGGCGGCGATGGAGGAGGAGGCAACGGGGGGGGGGGGTTGGCGGCAAGGACTGGGCCGCAGGACCACCAGAGTCAGCAGACTCCTCAACCGGGACAACCAACGGGAGGGGAGTGACATGAGACACACCAGACGGGGCAGGACGCAGGGGGGGCAGGGCTGGGGCTAGCAGGGACGGGGGAACCAGGAACAGGGGGGGGGGTAACCGGGGGACCACGGTGTGGGAAGCGGTGGTAGAAGGAGACGGACTCGTCAAAGGTAACGTCGCGGGAGTGAAAGAAACGGTGGGACAGCGGGTGGTAGAAGTGCCAGTCGGACGAGTCAAGGGGGAAGCCAAGGAAGACACAGGGGACGGTGCGGACAGTAAGCTTGTCCGTGCCAGAGGCATGAACGTGAGCAAGGCAGCCCCAGACGTGGAACACAGACGCGTCACCAGGGGACCCGGTCCAAAGTAGGGTCGGCGAAACCTGCGGCCGCTGAGGGTGCGGCCACAGGTTAAGCTGGTGAGCAGAGTAGCGAACCGCGAACGGCCACGGAAAATGGGGTGCACCGGCATGGATCATGGAGGTATGAGCCACTTCCATGACCAACCCGATGCGTCGCTCCGCGGCCCCATTTTGCTGCGACGAGTCCGGCAGGGTGAACGTCTGGGTGATGCCCTCCGCATGACAGAAGCGCCCAAGGACACCGGAGGCAAAGTGGCCCCCACGGTCAGAGTGAAAACGCAGGACAGGGAGACCGCGGTGGAGACGCGCAGCGACTAGCCAGGGGATAAGAACGTCAGGCACGTCGGCCTTCCGCTCCAAGGGAAAAACCGTGGTGTAGCGCGTGTAGTCGTCGACAAGCACGAGAAGGTAGCGCTCGCGACGCGGTCCGGACGGGGGCGGGGCCCCAGACGTCCATGTGCAAGGTCTGTAGCGGTGCGGTGGTGGGGGGGAAAGAGGAGGAGGGAGGGGCACGGTGGAGCTGACCCTCGATGCAGGGCGTGCACGGTGGCGCTGTGGAGGAGGGCAACTCGGGGAATGACCCTGGGAGACCTAGGACAAGACCCTGCTGTGACATGTGACGCAGACGCGGGAGCGCAGGGTGACCTAGACGGTGGTGCCACTGGAGGGTCGGGTGAGTGAGCGACCGACACGAGCAGGCCGCTGCAACCTGAGACAACACAGCTACCTGGGGAGGCGTCCGAACCGGGGGGGGCGCGGTGTCCAGTGTGAGCAGTCCAGACACCGGGTCCCGGGGGAACGTAACGAGGGGAGCACCAGTGACCGCCTCAGTACAGACAGCAAACCGCTCGTGACCAGGGAACGTAGTGGTGACGCCAAGGTCCTGGAGGCAGCCAACACCAACTAGGTTCCTGGAAAACTAGGGGACGTGCAAGCTTGTAAGCGAGCCAGAAGGAGCCGCCGGACACGGAAGGGTGGTAGAACTACGAGCGACGACCGGACCGGAGGAGGGGTCAGCAAGGGAAACCGCAGCAGGAGCAGCAAGCGGGGACAGCGTAGTGGAGTCGCGGAAGAAACACCGGGAAGCGCCAGAGTCCAGGGTGAAGGTGAGCGCAGCAGTGGCGGCCGGGGTCGAAGCAGCGACCGAGGAACGTAGGCTAAATAAGGCAGGCGGTCCTACGCCTGACGCAGCAGGGGGGGAAAGACTAGGCACACCGACACTAGGCAACACGGGGTAGTAAGAAGTAGTCACTCTAGAGTCATCAGCATATAGCACATACAGGGCAGAGCTAAGCTCATCCTTATCCATACAAAAAATCGGAGTACTACGACGAAGCAAGCTGAACCAGGTGGGGAGGTCGGGCGACGGGCCGAAGCGAAGACGAAACAGGTCGTCAAGGTGACGGAAGCAGCGAACAGGGGAGTGACCGGTCTTACCGCCAACGGAACCGCGGCGAGGACCGGTCAGGAGCTGGTACTGGCAGCGCCCGTCACCCGAACTGCCACTCGGGAGCACACCACGCGCACGTCCACCACCACGTCCACCGCCGCCACCAGCGCCAGGCCACCCGGGCGGGAGACCACTCGCCCGCCTCTGCTGCGGCGGTTGCTGCGACTACGGCGGCTGCTGCGACTGCTGCGGCTGGAGCTGGGGCTGCGGCTCTGGGTGGTGCTGGTCCGGCTGCGACGGCTGTGGCTGCTGGGACGGCTGCTCGGCTACACCAGGATTAGTCCCCTCGTCTGCGCCACCACCAGGCGCCCCGACTCCACTACCACCTCCACCTGCACCCCCACCCCCTCCGCCGCGCCCAGCCTTGGGGCAGCGACCCTTCCCCGTACGGAACTGCGCTGCAGCAGTAGTCTCAGCCACAGCAGCAGGGCCGCCAGAGAAGGTGCACTGGCAGGGGCACAACCTTGAAAGATAGGGACCGGCATAGTACCGCTAGTCTGGGCGATAGAGCGGTGACGGGTCTCTATGGCAGACAGGGTGTCGACAAAGTCGGTGAGGGTGAGGTCACCGGGGTGGACGCTAAGGAAGCGGTCGCGGGCAGTGGCAAGATGGTCAGGGAGACGGATGGTTAGCAGGTAGAGGGCAGAGCAGAGGGGCGGCTGATGGGCTCTAAGATGGGTCTCAGTGCAGGCAGAACGCCAGGTCGCGTCTATCGTGCGCAGGTGGGCGGCAAGGTCAGCGACAGTGGGGAAAGACGCAAGGTCAGGGAAAAGCATCGGCACGATCAGGCGACCTACGGAGGCAGCAGGCGGGGTGGAATAGCGCTGGACAACAGCATCTAGGAACGCCTGCGCAGTCGTGACGGACTTAAAGCGAGGGCGCTCAGATAGTGGGAGGGCATGACTGATAGCAAGCTGCGCAACAGCGTCACGCGACAGCCAGACAGAGCGAGCAAGGGCAGCAGCGGCAGCGGACTCACGCTCAGCAGACGAGGGGTCAGCAGGCAGCGCAGCAGGGGGGCCAGGGCAGGTGAGCGTACCGTCAAGGTGGGCAGACAACGAGTGGCCATCCTGCCGCTGACCAGTGAGATGGCGACGGAGGTCGACCAGCCACGCATCAAACTCAAGCGGCTGACCCTCAGCGTCGAAGCGAAGCACCTCCGCCATGAGGAACGATGCAGAGCAGGGAAGGGCGATGTTGTGCGGTGCAGTGCGTTGCAGGGCAGTGCAGTGCGGTACTGTGCAGTGCAAAGCGGTGGAGAGCGGCTCCGGGCGGTGCAGGGCAGTGGAGAGACAAGCCGGCGGCGTAGCGAACCCGGGGCCAGCTAGGAGAGGGGCCGGGGCCGACGAGGGACGGGCGCGAGGGACCGGTGAGGAGCGGGCGCGACAGGGGCGCGAGAGGCCGGCTAGGAGCGGGCACGAACGGCCAGGAGGGGCCGGCTAGGGGCGGGCCCGAACGGCCAGGGCGCCGGCTAGGAGGGGCGCGACGGCCAGGGGGCTGGCTAGGAGCGGGCGCGACGGCCAGGGGGCCAGCTAGGAGCGGGCGCGACGGCCAGGGGGCCGGCTAGGAGCGGGCGCACGGCCAGGGGGCCAGCTAGGGGCGGGCGCGAACGGCTAGGGGGCCAGCTAGGGGCGGGCGCGACGGCCAAGGGGGCAGCTAGGGTCCGGGCGCGAACGGCCAGGGGGCAGGCTAGGGGCGGGCGCGACGGCCAGGGGGGCAGCTAGGGGCGGGCACGAACGGCCAGGGGGCCAGCTAGGGGCGGGCGCGAACGGCCAGGGGGCCAGCTAGGGGCGGGCACGAACAGCCAGGGCGGGCCGACTAGGAGCGGGGCACGAGGGCGGCTAGGGCCTAGGGCGGAAGCGCGGGCGGGCGAGAGGAACCTAACCTACTCATGATACCATGTTAGAAAGAGAATATGATTAGAATAGGAAGATACAGGGAAATATAGACTAGTGTGTTGTACCCTCTAAGGCACAAACCTGTATAGTCTACAGTAACAACATAAGTTATGTTAGACAGTTTTTTCATCCCGACGAAGGCAAGTCACCTCAAGGCCCCATTGTAGAGGCAGGTGTGATGCACTGTTCACATCTGTGATTGTCGCCGCCAGCGTACCGTGCAGCCTAACCATTAGCACGCGGCAACTGCGGATGGCGGGTTCCCGTCGCACTGGAACTGAAGCGAAACCTAGACAGCGGAAACTGTTGGTCCGCATCTCAGATTCCCGTCGCCAACGTTGCCCTGAATAGGCGTCGACACGTACAACGAAAGGTAATCCTAGAATCGACGTTCTGCTCCTCTGTGCGCGATGGTCGGTGGCGACATTCACCGCGGCGCCGGTTGAAACTCGCCATCGAAAGGAATACCATTCCGCATGAGAGCAAGAGCGGCGTCGTCATCTCGTTCCATGCCACCTTGCGGGCCCCACAACGTTTGCGTGTCCCTTGCTCTCCGCTAACGTCGCTCCCTGCAGCGTAGCCCGACACTCCTTGTGCTCAGCGAAACCCCTGTCTGCTCCTCGAGGTCCATCGCCTCGCCTCGCCTCGCCTCGCCTCGTCGCGGGTCCGACGCCACAACACTGGACGCACCTGAGACGAGACTGCACCTTTTTGTGCCCTTTCTTTCCACAGAGAGCACTTGACCTTGCCTACCCAAGGGAGCACCTACCGGGGGAAGCTCCAACACAGGATAAGGCCATGGAAAACTGCAACAGCGACAGTCAATAAATGGCGAGGAAATATGGTACCAGCACACAACGACCTCGGGGGAATGCACAGGTTTCCTCACACAGGCATGGCGCTGAATTCCAGAGCCCACAACCAAGCCGCACACACCGATCCCCTGGCAACGCCACCATCATCACCACCCGCCCCACCAGCACCCACCCACCGCCCCGCTCCTGAGCAGCCTAAGCGAGTTGGCCACCACAGCCAGGCTGGTGCCCACGTCAGCCAGCACGGCCAGCCACAGCTGCGCGCGGCCCGCCACTGCGAGCCCCAGCACGACGGCCTTCACGGCCACCGACACCGCCACGTTCTCCACCACCACCCACCGTACCGCCCGCCCCAGCCACAGCGCCCGCGCCAGCTGGCGCAGGTCGTCTGACATCAGCGCCACGTCAGCAGCCTCCATGGCTGATGCGGACGCGATGGTGCCCATGGCGACGCTGACGTCAGCGGCGGCGAGAGCAGGCGCGTCGTTGATGCCGTCGCCCACCATGCAGGTGATGCCGTGCGCCGCCCTCAGCGCCGCCACCACCGCCACCTTGCCCTCGGGCAGCAGGTGAGAATGCACCTCCACTGCGGGGTGCAGCTGAGGGCAGGCAGGCGAGAGGGACCAAGGGGAGGGTTGGGGGTTGGAGTGAGAAGTCAGGCCGGCTAGTAAGCTGTTGTTTTTGGAACAGGGATATATGAGAGAGAGGGGGAAGATGTTGCTGATACTCCTATGATACACGAGAGATCAGTCCTGTAAGTGGCGTTAATGCTCACGTGAGAACAGTCCTGTTCCAATCAGCATGTCCCTTAAACACTCTGCCACGCTCGCCCATTCACTCCTAATGCACCCTTTCCCTCCCTTAATTCCCCTCCTTCCCCACCCTACAGCCACTCTTCTCTTCCCCTACATACCCACCCACCCATCTCCCCCACTCGTTTCCTCCCCACTCCCCCCCACCCCCCCTGCCCTGGCACCTGCTGCTTGACTCGGTGGGCGGCCGCGGCGTTGTCGCCGGTGAGCATGGCCACGTGCACCCCCAGCCCGCGCACCAGCTGCCCCACCGCCTCCCCTGCCTCGGGCCGAAGCGAGTCCGCCGCGGCAACGGCTGCCTTGGGATGGCCGTCCACCCCAAGCCACGCCACCGTGGCCCCGATGCCGAGCCAGTGGGCGAGCAGCGAGGGGGGGATGGCTGGTGGAACACAGCAGGGGGGGGGGGAGGAGTGGAATTTGGCGGGGGTGTTGAGGTGTGAAAAAGAGAATCACTGGACAATGGCAAATCATGCCACCGCACCTTCCATGCGCGTGCATGCATCTCACCATGCGTGCATGCATCTCACCATGTGTGCATGCATCTCACCATGCGTCCATCCCATGCGCTGCGCCATCCTCTCGTTGCCCACCTGCACTCTCCTCCCCCCCACCACCGCCTCCACCCCCTCCCCCGCCACCGTCTCAAACCCACTCACGGCCCCGCACTGCTCGTCTGCTGCATGGCCGCACCCCCCCTCAGCGCCATCCTTGCCATCGTTGCCACAGAGTGCATGAGCATCCTCTGCTGCTCTGCTTGCTTCTCCAGCACAGCAACCACGGCCCTTGCAGCAACCTCTCTTGGCTCCACTTGTGCCACATGCCCCTGCACCACATGCCCCTGCACCACATGCCCCTGCACCACATGCCCCTGCGTCTTTTCTATTCGACTCATGGCACAAGCCATACGTGGCAGTAGTCATATCGGATGTGTCATGTGGCTGTCTGCATGCATCGAGAGCCGTCACACGTGTGCCATGACCATCGCCACATGCGCCATGACCATCGCCACATGCGCCATGACCATCGCCACATGCGTCATGACCATCGCCACATGCGCCATGACCATCGCCACATGCGCCATGACCATCGCCACATGTGCCATGACCATCGCCACATGCGCCATGACCATCGCCACATGTGCCATGACCATCGCCACATGCGCCATGACCATCGCCACATGCGCCATGACCATTGCCATTCGTCTTACTGCTACTGCTCCACGCAGCACCGCTCTTGCTGCACGCACGGCTGCAAGTTGAAGCCAAACCTGTGCTGGCTGCTGCAGCATGGGTGGATGCATCAGCAGCACCCACCGCCCCCTGCACCTGATGCACCCCGTGTTGGCGGCAGAAGGCAAGGAGGGCGGCCGCCATGGGATGGCTGGACTGGCTCTCTGCACCCGCCAGCCTGCACGCATGGCGTCGCGTGGCATGGCATGGCATGGTGTGGCATGGCATGCCATGGGGCACAGGGCGGAGAGGGTGATGGACCAAGGGGAGGCTGAGTTGATTAGAGATCGAGGCGTCAAAAGAATGAAGAAAGAGATGAGCTCGTGGATGGTGGGGAGACAGTAGGATCACAAGCACACTGGAATAGGAGCGATGGGAGGGGGGTAAGAGAGTCGGGGTATTGAGTGTGATGGTTGGAGTGGATTGTGAAGGTTGAAAACGAAGAAAACCGACTCTTGTTCTAGCCATTCAGCATTGTGTCTCCCTGCCCTCACCACTGGAGGCACTCTTCTCTGCTGCAGCCGCCCCCCTCCACCAGTTCGAGCCCCACCACCCTGAACCGCCCGTGCGTGAGCGTGCCGGTCTTGTCCACGCCCACGGCCCGCACGCGCCCCAGCATCTCCAGCGCCGCGCCACCCTTCACCAGCACGCCGTCCCGCGCCGCGCGTGCGATGCCGCACACGGCAGCCACGGGCGTGGAGAGCACGAGGGCGCAGGGGCACGCCACCACGAGCAGCAGCAGGGCGAGCTGCAGGAAGTAGGAGCGGTCAGCCGAGGGGACGGCGAGGGGCACGAGGGCCACAAGGAGAGCGGCGAGCACGACCAGTGGCGTGTAGAAGCGCGCAAAGGACTCCACCAGGCGCTGTGCTGGCGAGCGGGCAGACTGCGCCGCCTCGATGAGCACCACCATGCGGGCGACAGCGGAGTCAGACGCCAGGGACGTGGCGCGCATGGTGAAGAAGCCTGGGGGGCGGGAGGGGCGTGGGGGAGGGGGGAGGAGAGGCAGGGGCCATGGGCGAGAAGAGGAGCGTCTGGTGTGGGCGGAGTTGATTGGGGAGAGCAGTCCGGCAGAGGCGGAGCAGGCAGCGAGAGAGATGTGCGTGCCATGGTGCAGGGCGAGAGAGATGGACGATGGGTGAGAGCGAGGCGTGCTAGAGGCGGAACAGAAACAGGGGTACTGAACGGACGGAGGAGGAAAGGTGGGAAGGTGGGAGAAGTGTGGGGGCAGAGTGTGGTTGATTGAGCAAGGGAGAGAAGAAGCGCTGGCCTGTGGTGTTGACGGTGCCTGCCCACACGGGCGCGCCCATGTCCTTCAACACAAGCACGGACTCCCCTGTCAGGCTGCTCTCATCCACGCTGCTCGCACCGCTCTGCACCACTCCATCCACAGCCACCATGGCGCCTGGGCGCACTGCAAGCAGCGCCCCCACCGGCACCTGCTCCACCGGCACCTGCAGTGGTGGGGGGGGGGTGAGGATTTCACCACTCTGCGTCAACCGCCCCCACAGCTCGTGGACGAAGCAGCAAGGGAGATAAAAAAAATAGGATGAGGGTGGCCAACTGGCACCACCGGGGGACAGGACAGGAGCGACTTCACCATGCTTCACCACTCTGCACCACTACGTGCACTAGCAGAAGCAATGCTGTGACCATCCACGGCAGTGACACAGACCGGCTGGCACCTCTGCACTGCTCCCATGGCCTGCCATGGGGCTAGTGGCACACAACGTCAGTGGTGCATGCTGTGATGGTGCATGCTACGATGGTGCATGCTACGATGGTGCATGCTGCGATGGTGCATGCTGCGATGGTGCATGCTGCGATGGTGCATGCTGCGATGGTGCATGCTGCGATGGTGCATGCTGCGATGGTGCATGCTGCGATGGTGCATGCTGCGATGGTGCATGCTGCGATGGTGCATGCTGCGATGGAGCATGCTGCGATGGAGCATTGGGAAAGGGGGAGAACAAGGTGCGACAAAGAAAGGAAATGGGTCTCTCGTTTGCTACACTGCTGCCACCCTATTCACCCCAACCACCCAGAAGCTCCGCCCTCCCCCCTCCTTCAGCTTCCCACCCCTCACGCCCCCACCTGCTCGCCGGTGCCTGCCAGCTCTGCAGTCTGCGGCGCGCGGTCTATCAACGCCTGGATGGCCACCCGCGCCTGGGGGAGACGGGCAGAGGGGTGGGGGACGTGGGGGCGGAAGGGGGGGGTGGAAGGGGAGGGTGGAAGGGGGGGTTGGAAGTGGGGGGAGGGGGGAGGGGGGTGTGGAAAGGGGGGGGGGGCGGAGGGGGTGGAGGGGGGGGGGGGGGGGGGAGAAGCAGGGGTGTGGAAGGGAGGGGGGGGAGGGGAAGTAGAAAGAGGAGGCTGATGGAGCGGCGGAGGTGGGTGGGCTGGTCGATGGGCAGGAGGGCCAGGGGGAAGGGGGAAACATGGGAGAGTGGAGCGATGGGGGAACTTGAGGGAAATGCATAGGGAGAGGAAGAGTAGCGTAGAGCAGTCAAGATTACGACGCATGTAGCAAGTAAGAAAGCAAGCGATTGACAGAAGCGCTATTGTCCAGCACAGTTGGAAGGTTGTACCCCTCACAGGTGGAAGGTTGTACCCCTCACAGGTGGAAGGTTGTACCCCTCACAGGTGGAAGGTTGTACCCCTCACAGGTGGAAGGTTGTACCCCTCACAGGTGGAAGGCTGCACCCCTCACAGAACCACATGAACGCATTACCTCCTGTGCCTCACGCACCACAGCCGCACCAGCAAGCTGCCACAACCCTCTGAGCACTTCAGTCTGGTTACCGTGCACGTTCTCCGGTCACCGCACACCTTATCTGGTTACTGCACATCTTATCTGGTTACCGTGCATCTTATCTGGTTACTGCACACCTTATGTGGTTTTCGTGCAACCTATCTGGTTCCCGCGCACCTTATCTGGTTACTGTGCACCTTATCTGGTTACCATGCACCTTATCTGGTTACCATGCACCTTATCTGGTTACCCCACATCTTATCTGGTTACCGCACACCACATGTGGTTACTTCACACCTTATCTGGTTAGTTCACACTTTATCTGGTTACCATGCACCTTATCTGGTAACTGCCCAATTTATCTGGCAACTGCCGCACCTTATCTGGTAACAGCCCACCTTATCTGGTAACCGCACCTTATCTGTGGAGCGCGCCTCAAGGTAGTTGGCGAGCGAGAAGAGGAAGACCACAGAGGCGCCCTCCACATAGTCCCCGATGGCGATGGCTCCCGCCACTGGGGGGAGAGCGAGAGAGAGAGAGAGGGGGACAAGTGCCGGGCAATAGGTGAGGACAGACATGCCTCATGCGGAAACATACAGAAGCGAAAAAGCAAACACGGACGCAGTTGTAGCGACACGTCGGTGCAGGCATGGCACACACACAGACACACAAACACATGCACACACACGCACATTCGCACCCCCGCACACACGTACACGCAGGAGCCTGACAACTGACCCCAGCGAGCCTCCAGCCAGGATTCAAGCAACACTCAATGCCCTCATGCCCGCCAGTCAAGCGCACCTGCAATGACCATGAGGGTGTTTATATCGAGTATGAACCGCCTCAGCGCTGTGAGGCTGCGCAGCAGAATGGGCGGCAGGCCGGCAGCGATGGAGGCGAGGGCGACGAACTGGAGGGGCGCGAGGAGGTAGTGGAAGAGGGAGACGACGAGCAGCGCGCCCGACAGCAGCATGAACGGCGACGGCACCGCCGACGCCACCCGCACTTGGCCCTTGTGCTGCTGGCTGGCGTTGAGATGGGCGCCGTTCAGCGCCGCCACTTGGGGGACAGGGAGGGGAGGGCGTGGTGGGGGGGAAGGGGTGGGGACGAGTGTTAGAGAGGGAAGACGCGTGCATGGTTTCCCCACCTTGGGTGACACCTTCACTCACCCCCCGCACTCACTGCGCCCTTCCATCATCCATGTGAAGGCAGCGCCCACCCACCGATGTCAGCAGCGGTGGTGATGGTGGCATCGTGCTGCACGACGGCTGTCTTGGTGGGCGTGTGCACCGCCACATGCCGCACGCCCGGCAGCGCCTGCAGCACTCGGTGCACCACAGCCTCCTCCGCCGGGCAGCACAGTCCCAACACGTCCACGCGCGTGCTGCTCACCACTGCGCCACCCACGCTGCCAGCACCAGTGGCAGCTGCAGCAGTGGCGGCAGGAGCACAGGCGGCAGCGTTGCTGTTGGCATGGGCGTATTGAAAGCCACTCGCTGCCGTGGTGGCCATGGCACTGACTGCTCGTTGACATGCGGTCTTCGACAGAAGGAACAAACGACGAAGTACAAGAGCGGCATTGCCGGCCACCTGCTTTCCTCCCTCCTCTCCCTCCTCTCCTCCTTCCTCTCCCTCCTCCCCTTCCCCCCCACCAACCAGCACCACCATCTCACCCTTCCTCCCTGCACCCTGCGTGCTCCCCACATGAGGCGAGCAGCACTGCCCCCCACACCCCATCGCCCTTCTTCCTGCTTCCTCGCTGCTTCCACTGGCACCAGCGCTGGCAGCAGCAGCGCCAGCACTGCTGTGAGTGTGATTGTGGGAGTCAGCGCGACTGTAGCTGCGGTGATGGCAACAGCAGGCGCCGCTGCTGCCATGATCGCCGTGGTCAAGCAGCTTGCTGCTCGTGCTCCCTTCACCGCCGCGCGCCTGCACTCCACGGCCCACCACAGGCTCCCTCACATGACAGCCAATCAGAGCAGCCGCTGCTGCCGCCACCCTCTGGCTCTTCACCACCTGTGCCACGTCAGCATCAAGCAGCCTCGCTGCAGTTGCTGCCCCTGGCACGGCTGCGTGCTGCCCTGCTCCACTGGCTTGCCGCTTCTCTCCCGGCTCTGCTGCCCCTTCGCTGCCCTCCGTGCAACCACACTCATCACAGGATGGCAGCCGCGTGCGGCGGCACATCACATCAGAGCAGCGCACCACCACCGCACTGCCAGAGCTGCGCCCACAGCAGTCCCAGTGGGCGGGGCCGGGCGCGCGGTGCTCGTAGGTGAACACGGCCACCTGCTGCTTGCCCCGCCGCCGCCTCACCAGCCCCGTGGCGGCGCCTACCTTCACCAGCCTCCCGTGCTCGTGCACGTGGTAACCGCATGCGCCTGGAGGCGCTTCACGGCTGTGGCCATCCGCACAGTGACCGCACGGGGCAACGTGGGTGGCAGTGCGGGTGGCACTGCAGCTGGCAGCGCTGCAGCTGTTCCCTCGGGCAGCGGTGGAGGCAGGGTGCGCTGTGGAGCCATGGGAAAGGGGCTGGGGGACATGGCTATGGGATGGTGCTGCCGCCATGGCAGGGCCCTGTGCGTTGGCTTGCGCATGGGCATGAGGGTCCGAATCAGCATGGGGATGGGCTTGGCTGTTGACGTGAGAACGATGGTCATGGCTATGTACAGCAGTGCGCGGGCCATCATGCATTCCTTCTGCGTGGTTCTGCTCCTCATGCACGTGCACATCAACCCCACATACATGATGGTCATGGCTATGTGCATGATGGTCAGGGCTATGTGCATGATGGTCATGGCTATGTGCATGATGGTCAGGGCTATGTGCATGATGGTCATGGCTATGTGCATGATGGCTACAGCTACTAATGGGCGTGCGACCTTCACGGCTATGTACAATGCCATGGGCGTGGCTGGTTGTGCCATGGGTGGCCTCATGCGCATGGTGCGCATCGCCATGGCCATGGCCATCATGGTTCGAATGCCCGTGGTGCCCGTGGTGTCCGTGGTGTCCGTGGTGTCCGTGGTGTCCGTGGTGTCCATGGTGCCCGTGGTGTGCGTGGTGTGCGTGGTGTGCGTGGTGCAGCAGGAACGAGCCATCGCGGAGCGGCATGAGGTAGTCCACATGGTCTCCATGCGCTATGCTCGCATGCCCGCACCCCTCCGCATGCACATGCCCATCACCGTCGCCCTGCTCCTCCGCGTGATCACAGCTGGGGCCATGTCCATGCACCTTCCCCCCTGAGCCCCTCACGCCCTCCCCCCTGCTCCTCGCCACCACGTCACTCCCCTCGACCCCGCCAGCAGCGCCACTGCCTGTGTCCGCGCAATCAGGGGAGGACGCGCCCAGGGCGCAGGGCGGGGGGAGGCGGGGCGAGGGGGTGGGGGAGGGGCACAGGTAGGGCGACGGCACACCTGCGTGCAGACACTGTGGAGTGTGGCAATCACGGGGGAAGGGGAGGGGAAGCAGGCAGGGTGTCTCAAGAGTTGCGGCAGAAGAGACCGGGAATGGGCAGAAGAGACCGGGAATGGGCAGAAGAGACCGGGAATGGGCAGAAGAGACCGGGAATGGGCAGAAGAGACCGGGAATGGGCAGAAGAGACCGGGAATGGGCAGAAGAGACCGGGAATGGGCAGAAGAGACCGGGAATGGGCAGAAGAGACCGGGAATGGGCAGAAGAGACCAGGAATGGGCAGAAGAGACCGGGAATGGGCAGAAGAGACCGGGAATGGGCAGAAGAGACCGGGAATGCGCAGAATGAGCAGCAATGCGAAGCGCAGGGGGGAGCGGACGCGAGGGAAGGCAGCAGCAGCGAGGCTACCGGGGCAGGTGGGACGGCGTGCGCTCACGGCTTGCAGCACGCACCGGCTCCAGCAGCACGTCTTCAGTCGCGTCCCCGCGGTGCACGTGCGCGTGCACGTGCACCCCCTCCCGCCCGCAGCACGCATCCCCCGCATCCCCATCATCCGCCTCCTCTGCCTCCTGCCCACTTGCGCCAAGGCCTAGCCCCGTGGACGCGCGCAACGAGCCATCCCTCGAGCTTTCGGGAGAGGTATCGGGGGAAGCGTTTTCAAGGGGCGGCGGGAGCAGTCGCGCGCGCTGCTCGGCGCGCTGCTGGGGGTCTGCTGAGCAGTCGGCGGCGGCGCTGGCGGAGTGGTCCTGGAAGCAGAGGCGCAGCGAGAGCGCGAGCGGCGCGCTGACGCACGTGAAGCGCGAGCCGTCCAGCACCAGCAGGTGGCGCGGCTCGCGCGGCGTGAGGGGGTGAGGCGAGACCGGGGTGTGCGGGACGGGTGAGGTGGGGGATGACGGGACCGCGAGGAGCGCGGGGTCGCTGTGGCTGACGACGGCGTGCAGAAGGTGCGACGCCATGAGGCGAGGAAGACTAGCGCGCGAGGGAGAGGGAAATTTGAGAGCTGTAAAAACGTTCACGATAGCTCAGGCGTCTTGAGTGGTGGGTGAGAATTGGTGGCTGCGGAATGGTGGGAAGTGTGGCGAGCGAGCTCAGTTCACGTGAAATGCGAAGGCCCGAAGACAGCCATTCGCACAGCAGCAATGATTCGACACCACTTCAAGAGGAAGTGGGGTTCTGTCCGCCATTAGCCACTGGATAGGTTCTTACACTACCAACCAACCGAGGTGATGTGCGACCAACAATTCCGATGCTGGGGAAGCAGCGGCTGCAGCTGCAGCAGAGGGCACAGCGGCACATCGAGCATCACACCCAGACCGGCATTCTCGGGGTGTTTTCCCCCGCTGCTGGATGCTGCCATTGGTTGCTCGGTTGGTTGGTTCAGTGTTGGTGGGAATGGGAGCGACCCCGCAAGGTCGAAAAGAATGAAGAACCTAATAAGGCGTATCCAATGAGGGATACTTGTAATTTGCATTTGGACGCCTATGCAAGAAAAGGAGGAAGTATGCAAAATAAGAAAAATATTGTATCATGGATATATTGCACTTGGTCACAAAGGCATCCCGGATATTGGGTTTCATAGGTTCATTCTCCAACCTATTTTCGCTTATTGGTACAAATATACAAATGTGAACATCAATAGTATTGGAAAATTTAACAAAAAAGTGCATGCCAACAAACATACCTTAAAAAGGGGGGTGAGTCTTATAAGGAAACCTGAAAATAAATTACCCCGGTGATACGTCGTACACAACTAGAATTCGAAATTACTCATGTAGGTTAGTTCCTCATTTACATTCCTAACTCATTGCCAAGTACTCAGGCCCACTCTCACTCTTTTGTGCACAAAAATCAAGTTGTCACGACATGCTTAAATGTGATTCGTTCAAGTGAGCATTTGACATGGCGGGAAAACCCTTCTGAAACAAATTCGGGAGCAATCCTATTAGGCACAGTATCGATCGACGGTCTAGATTTTGTCTCCAAATTCAACACTGTGAGAAAACTGTTAATTTAGACGGTTTTATTGCAATTGGCGAATCTCCATCCCATCCCACGCTTCTGAAGCGATTCAAAGCCTCGTTCCTCGCCTTTTCACAATGTTTTTTTGTTCCCTTTTCGCCCTACTGTGTCCCCGCAGTGTTAAAATTATATTTTATATAATTGTAGACTTGGTATTTGTGCTACTGCATCCTACTGTAGAGGGGATAACTCCCCTTCTTGTACCTGATTCTCTTCTAGTTCAAACACTCTTTTCCTCTCGTATCTTCTCCCCCTAGCTAAACCTTCCTCTCGTATTCCATGGCCGCCTAGTCTCCACGTACTTTAACATGGTTTCAGAGCGGTTCGCTCCTAGCGGGCCTGCTCCTCACCCTTCCGCCGCGCTTTTCTACCGTCCTTTTCAGGCCGCCACCGTCCCTCGCCGTGCTGCCATGGCGACCTCGACATTTAGCCGTGGCGGCCATGTCAAGGTGCCGTGGCGGCCTCGTCGCATGGCTGCCACGTCGAGCAGCCGTGCTGGGCTTGCCGCCCTGACGTGGCGGCTCCGCCGTTCCACCTTCCCGCCGTATGCCCGTGCTGCGGCCAGCGCCTTGACGTTCGTGGCGCCCCCACGCCTGCCGCCACCACACCTGCCGCCCGCACACCAGCCTCCAGCGTGAGGCTGGACCACGCCCCGCCCCTCTTCCCTTGTGTCATGTTCCTCGCCGCAGCCGACGGCTGACTCCCGCCGACCGTCCCACCGTCGCGGAGTTTGGTCACGTCGCCGAGTGGGGCGAGCGCCGCTGCCGCCGCTGCTGTTGTCGAAGCCCCCGCTGCCGCTGCTGTTGCCGCTGGCTTTACTTGCCGCCGCACGCCGCCGCCGCCGCTGCTATCGTCATTGATGCCGCCGCCGTCGTCGCCACCGCACCCTCGTTGTTGACGTTGCCGCCCCGCCCGTGGAGAGGTCGACCGCGCTGTCAACCGCCAATGCTGCTGCATGGAATGGGGGTGCTAGGTTAGGGGATGTGGGTGTGTGTGGGTTCACCTATTACCAAGCCTAGGGGGTGTGTTAAAATTATATTTTATATAATTGTAGACTTGGTATTTGTGCTACTGCATCCTACTGTAGAGGGGATAACTCCCCTTCTTGTACCTGATTCTCTTCTAGTTCAAACACTCTTTTCCTCTCGTATCTTCTCCCATTAGCTAAACCTTCCTCTCGTATTCCATGGCCGCCTAGTCTCCACGTACTTTAACATGCAGTCCCCTTTCTATTTCCTCCTTACTCGCTTCCCGCCGTACTTTACCTTTGCTGCGGAAATCATGAGAAAAATATACGAAGAGGGTCGTAAGCCGGCTACACTGAAAATGGGGGGGGGGGGGGGGGGGGGGGGTCTTGTTAGTCAATTACCATAATAAATGACCTACCCCCCAAAAACACCCTATGGGTCCTCAATAAAACCAGTCTTATATCCGGGCATTTATGGTGAAATAAATCGTATGGTGTTGTAGGAGACTAAGTATAGAATCTACAAACACGAGTACTTAACCAAGGATCTTTGCTGGAATGGTAGACTAGTAAGACAGCGGAAGTCTTATCAGAGTGAACCTGAGCACATGAACTTGTGGGTAGTCGAAGGTTGAATAACCTGAGCACATAATTCTGTGGAAAGTCAAGGTTAATAATAGAAAGGCATTACAAGGATTTATAGCTCTAGGGAAAGTACCTGTTCGCTAATGTACCTGTTCGTCAACATCGCGCTATGCGACCTATTCGTCATTCTAAAGGGGTCGCAACTGTTCGCGTGACTGAAACGGTTCGTTACGCCTAATTGCATAACTGAAGCGGTATGCTGACGTCATGCTGAGACCCGCGATGCTTTGCTGACATCAGCACTCGGACCTGTTTACTTACTGAGAAACTCGATACTGCTAACTACACTGAAAACGGAACTTGCAGGAATGCGAAACTTCATTTACCACAACATATGGTATATCTGTATCAAGTTAGGTTAGATGTATTTGCAATAACCTAGCTATGTTAGCTCTTATGTACTACAACACCTTGTACTTGTATCTCCCTTTCTCCCTTCCTAGTCAAACTTTTCACGCTATTCTAACGTGTCATCTAGAGCTAGGTTAGGTCCCACCTTCTCACGCTTCCGCCCCTAGCTAAGTAGCTCCGAGCCGCCCCTAGCCGCCCCTTGTCGCTCCTAGCCACTCCTGGTCGCCCCTAGCTGCTTCCCTCACCCCCCCCCCCCCCCCCCCCGTAATTAGCTCGCGCACCCGTCGCCAGCGAGCGAACTAGCCACGCCAGCCAAGCTGCCCAGTGCCAACTCGCGCCTGCCCGCCCGCCCTTTGCCCACCACTCCGCGCCTGCTGGCCGCCACCCGCGCCTGCTCGCCGCTTTTGCGCCTAGCCCACTGGCTGCCGCCCGCTCGTCAGCCAACTCCTGGCCGCCAGCCAGCTCGCCGCCAGCTCGCCAATCGCCTCTACCAGGCTGCGGCTGCTAGCTCGTTGCCCGCTGACGCTCGCAACCGCTGCTGCTACCGCCGCCCACTGCCCCCTGCAGCAGCAGCAGCCACTGCAGCGTGCCCCCCACAGCCACCCACTGCTGCTCACTGCCGCGTGTTTCCGCCCACTGCCGCTCATTGCAGCTGCTACTGTCACAGATCCCGCCGCCTGCTGCCGCTGCCTGCTGCACTACTGCAGCCACTACAACAGCTGTTGCCGCCTGCTGCCACCCGCCGCCGCCTACTGCTCCAGGCTGCTGCTGCAGCCGCCACAGCCGAAACCACTACGGTGTGCTGCCGCCCGCTACCATCTGTTACCGCCCGTTGCCACTACAGCACCAGCGACCACTGCAGCCGCCTTAGCCGCCTGGCCCTAGCCTACTGCGAGCATGTCCAACTCCTCCTCCATCTTTGTTCTGCGCCTGGATGGTGAGGGTTGGGCGATTGGGTTTGTGGCCTGGCAGGAGACTGTGCTCCTCGAGCTAACAAGCCAGTGCGTGGACGACGAGTCTCTTGAGGCTCACGTCCCTGGTGAGCTCTCTGCCCCCCCCCCCCGTCCTGGCACTCCCACTACTGATGCGACGTCGGTGAAACAGGCTGAGCACGCAGCTGTCCGTACCGCCTACTCTATCTGGGCTTTTCGCGACGCCACTGCCTCAGGTGCCTGTCGGTTGACGAGCACTCCCACTTTGTGGATGCTGCATGAGTCCACGCCCTCTGGACTGCCATTCTTTCAAGGAACTCGACCCCGTCGTCTGCCACGTCGTCCCCGTCGCCTCATCCTCCCCTTCTTCTTTCCCGACCTGACCTACAGTGACAGAATAATCGGTATTCAATGTTGGGCTTATTATCAAATACCTCGTTTTTGACCATGTTGGGAGCATGTAGCTGACCATAAAGTGTTGGTGACATCAAATGTGGGTGGTTTAGGGTAGTGAAAATTGTATTGGTAATTGCCACGATGGTCCGTGCGATCACTTACCTCCTGCCAAGACTCTAGAACCATTTCAACCTTGCATTTCACCCTCTGTATAGGGTAGGCATCGAGATATAGCCCATAGCACGCTTAGCTCCTAAGCAAGTATTAGAATAGGATGAGCCCTATCAAGTTGCGCAATAGAGAGAGAATTACGACCCCGGGTCTAAGCATTCGTAAAATTGCTCCCATATTAGATATAGGCAAGCAAGAACACTGTCCGGAAATATGCGGAGTTGGCATCTCATCGCGACAGTCGCCTAGCTGTTAGACCGACCGCCCCTCAAAACGGTCGGCCAAGCCAGCTCCGACTCGAGTTGCTTAGCCGCCTCTATACTCGTTTTCGCAGCGCCAGAAGTCAGGGCACACACAAGCCCCCGAAGCAGTCCACGAACGCGCTAAAGCAGTCCGGCCTCGTCACTGTAAACAATCGAAGAAACCGCGACTCTCAGCACGGAACATTCGGGACAGATTGGATTTTGCATGGGCCCACCTGGATTGGACGATCGAAGACGGGAAGCAAGTAATCTGGTATGACGAGACCAAAATCAACCGCTTATGCAGTTTTGGCTGCACCTATGCATGGATCCGCGGTAGCACGGCCCTTCAAGGGCATCAGGTAAAATAATATGTGAAGCATGGGGGCATATCCTTAATGGTATGGGGCTGTATGTTCTATGATGGGCCTTGGAGAAAGGCGGAGGTGGCGTCCATGGACTTGATCTCGAAGTTGCCGCGAGCGGCTATATCAAGAAGAGCGCGCACAGTCGGGAGCTTGGCCATGGGCGAGAAGGTTTCGAAGAAGTCGAGATACTCTTTCTGGGTGCAACCCTTCGCCACGTATCGTGCCTTTAACCGTGGAGCTTCGCCTGGGAGTTGTTCGACTCGGAAGATCCATTTTCCGCCGACGATGTTGACATCGGAAGCGGGAACGACATCGTCAAAGCTGTTGTTGCGAATGAACGCCTCGTTCTCCATATCCATTGCTGCCTTCCACTCCTTCTTATAAGGCCCCGAGAGAGCTTCCTCTTTTGTGCGAGGAGTCGGAATGGTCGGGTTCTCATTGAAGTTGAGGGAAGGGCAGTTTGTAATGTCCGGGAAGATGTGTGAGAGAAATTGGCAGACCGCGTGAAGGTCAAACAGCTCCTCATGCCTGTCCTCCAGAAGTGCACGGTGTGGAATATTGATGGAGGGGACATCACCCCCGGCAGGAGGAGGTGGGGTGACCGAACACCAGATGGAGAAGGCGGCTGGTCCCCAGGCAAGAGGCGGAGCCGGTCCCTTGGAACGAGTGCGACTAGAGACCGGTGACGAAGGCGGCTGCGATGGGACCGGAGGGACTGGGCGCCTCCGGTAGGAGACTGGTGAGCTGGGCTCGATGCGCGGGGAAGGCGGAGCAGGAGGAGGTGCCACTGCGGAGGATACCGGGAAGGCTGGGTGAGACACGCCAGACGGAGAAGGCCTCAGAGAAAGGGCAGCGGCCGGAGGTGGGGCATCGAATTCTGCCCATACAAGCGTCGGGGGAGGTGGAGGAGGCTCGCCCGTGGTTGCAGGGTGCAAGAGGCGTGTGTCATCGAAGACGACATCACGGCTGCGAATCAGCTGTCTGGTGATGGGGTTGAGGAATAAATAGTCTGGGGAGTCGGAGTTGTGCCCAAGGTACATGCAGGTCTGGGTTATGGGACCAAGCTTGCCACCTTGCTTCCTGCACGTGTGGGGGCTGAGCAACACATACGCGGTACACCCCCAGACGCGTAGAGAGCGGGCGGAAGGCGTGACCCCAAGCCAGAGAGTGGTAGGTGTGGGGTCGGGCCAGTGGGGATGCGGATAAAGATTGCAAAGGAAAGCCGCATGGAAGAGGACATATCCCCGGAGTGACCGTGGTGCGTTGGCGTGACTGAGGAGGCAGCGAGCGATCTGAACCAAGGTGTGGTTGCGGCTCTCTGCAATGCCATTTTGGTGCGGGCTTTCGGGGAGCGTGAAGGTTTGCCGAATCCCTTGGGCCGCGCAGAAGTTATCGTGTTTGCCATTGCAAAATTCTCCCCCGCCATCAGAATGGAGGCACTTCAGAGGAGTGCCGAACATGACTTGAGCCTGGCGCACCCATGCCATGATGAGGTCAGGTGCCTCCGTCTTGCTATGCACGAGGCGCACAGAAACATACTGCGAGTGGTCATTGACTAGTGTAAGAAAGTACCGATGACCGCCTCGGGATGCGACTGGAGCTGGGCCCCAGACGTCCATGTGCACTAGGTCCAGCGGAGCAGCTACGATGGATGGGGAGGAAGGTTGCGGCTGCTGCCTGAGCTTGCTCTTGGTGCAGTCCAAGCATGTGGGTGCAGGTGAGTCTGTTGGTGGAGGAAGCGCCGACGGGAGGCCAAGAAGAAGTTTCTTGGAAGCGATGTCGGCAAGCGTACGGAAGTTGGGGTGACCCAAGCGATGGTAGTAGAGGATGGTTGGGTTGGCGAAGCTGTGACACGAACACGTAGTGGTGTTGGCAGCTTGCGCTTCGGAGGGGGCGGCGAGAGGTGCAGGTGAACGCAGCGTGTAGAGCTTGCTGCAGTTGAGTGTGAAGCGTGCTAGGAGCTTGTTGGACTTAGGGTCAAGAAGGTCACAGTGATCCGAGTGTGCTAGGAAGATCGTGGTGACGCCTGCCCATTGGAGCTCATGTTGGGCCACGAGATTGTGGCGTAGTGTGGGAACACACATGCCGGTGACACTGCCCGAAGGGAAAGCTGGGCACGGAACAATGGACGAGCCCTTGGCGTGTGTTGTGAAACTGGAGTCTGCTCCTAGTAGAGAGATTGGTGTCTTGTATGGCTTGAAGGATTGTTCTTCTTTGAGAACTGTATGAGTGGCCCCACTGTTGAGGGTGAACTCTATTGTGGCTGAGGTGCTTTGTGAGCCGGGACACTGCGAAATTGTCTCATTAATCATGGCAGTGCCAGGGAACAACATGTTGAGGCGCACATTAGCAGAGCTACAGTAGTCTGCACAGATTCCTGCGCTTTGACTTGATTGACCTTGCGAGGAGCACGATTGACCATCCAGCTTGGTGGCTTGGAGGCGGTCCCATTGACGGCATACCACTCGTCATCCTTCTTCTTGAAGCAGAAGGCGAGGGCGTAGTTGGTGCCGCCACACACGTGGCTGGCACGAGGGCCGTGCTTGATGACGTAGGGATACGAGGGGAAGCGGTTGCGCTGGAATGGTGCCGAAGCGGCATAGGCCTGAGGCACAGAAGCGCGGATTGCATTGGCCTTGGCTTGAGCGCTGTTGTCCTTTTTGGCAGAAAGGAGAGCGGATGAGACCTTGGCAAATGTGAGGTCTGCAGGAGCAAGGCCCAAGAGCATCTTGCGTGTGACTTCGTATGCCGGAGTGAGGCCGACTAGGAGAGCGGCTGCAGGGACTTGCTCGGGGAAGACTATCCCCAACTGTTTGAGTTCACCATGAATGGACTGCACCTTGGTGACAGTCCGCCATGCCTGGCGAGTCCTCGAGCCACACTTGGAACATGCTGGGGATGAGTATAGCAACTCCCACGGTAGTCTTGTTCAGGAAGTTGTCTTCGAGGCAGAGCCAAATGGCGTTGGCAGACGGGTAGTTGTGGTAGGTTTCGACGAGTTCGGGAGGAGTGGTGCCCATGAAGACACTGATGACCGCGCCATTGGCCTTCTCCCAATTCTTGTACTTGAGCAGTGCAGCAGCATCAACTGTTTCGGCGGTGGCATCAGCTAGATCGACGGACCTCTCTGGTTTAGGAGGCTCTTTGCCGTCACTGATGTTGAGAAGGACGTCGGTGAGCTCGAGCCCCTTCACCCCGCGACTCAGGAGGTGCTTGTCGACACCATAGCGCCAAGCCTTGTAGTTGGAGCATGTACCATCCGGCTCGAGACGAAGGAGCGGGATTGCCTATTGCTTGACGCGAGACGTTCGTGGAGGCGATTCCGCGAGGGGAGTTCGCCTATTCTGTCAGGGTCCACGGGGAAACTCGAAAACGAGTTTTAAGAGACGGTCGAAATTGAGATTCGACCAAGGAGAACCGAAGAGGAAATTGATGATGGGAAGCGTGAAAGCTTTCGAGTTGAGAAATTCAACAAGGTCGAGCGTGAAGGCGGTCGACGATGAGAGGCGTGACTGCAGAGTGGAGCACGTCGAAAATTCTGACGACTCGAGACGAATGTCGCGACGATGAAGTGTGTGTAGCATGGGCACGTGAAGACTAGGACCTTGATGCGCGTGTGCGGATAGTTCGCTCTGATACCATATAAAAAATAGAGCTGAAATCATTAATTAGGTAAGGAGCCCAAGGCTCTATAAGTACATGGCAAGGTGAGAGAGAATGGATGAAGGGGGAATCGGAGGGAATCCCCATTGGGATCTCCGGAATCTCCAATTGGGTAATTGGAGATTGGAGGGATCACAATTTGTGAGTACACCCCTACCCACTAGAACATTCCTAACCTAAACTAGGATATAAAGGTACAAATACAAATGTGAGATTTGCAATCTATTTCTAACAATCTTGACACCTCCCTTCGCTGGGATAGGCGGAAGACACAAGCGCTTATGAAGCGCTGGCACTTGTATCTGATACCATGCTGAAACGTGGTCACTAACCACTGAGCTAAAAGGGCTTGTTAAGTAGCGGGTATGTGCGCCCATAACCTCCCAAGTAGAGAGATGGTGTGTAGCCCTTCCCCAAGGATCAAGGGCAACCCCAGTGTGTATCTTGACACCACTCACACTTTGGAGTACAATCCTAATGTCAAAAAGCTTGTCAACCGATCTTGTTGTCATTTTATTCATACTTGGCATTCCCGAAAGCGCAAGATCGAGTCTCGTCCTAACTGTAGACTTCAGTGGATGACATCAACAAATAGCAATTGTCAAGAAACAACCATTTCTGTCGTGCGAACAGTCGCGCTACTTCTACTGTGTCGAATAGGTTACGTAACTCTTTCCTTAGCGAGCAAGTACATTCTGCTAGATTTAGGTAGCTTGTGTATTCTTGCCTCTATTCCTAGTCCATAACTTGATCCTCAGCAACTCTTATGTTCAAGTTCATTAGTCTTCCACTATTACAAGAAGTCAACTAATCCAGCAAAAATCCTCCTACAACTCAAGTGCAAGACAACTGTTACTCTGCTAAAGGATTACTGCTGGTATTATATGAGCTTTTCGCAAGTCTACTACAACATCATGTCATATATTTCAGTCCATGAGGCCTTTCTTATTGCGAGAATCCTCACCGATAATTTTTTCCTCTCCCTCTCTCAAAATACCCGAAGCTCATTATTCTTACGCTGTACTTTCAAACCATTTGAGTCACGGGTGTCAATAAGCATATATTGCTACTCATATCTAGTTAGATTAGATATGTTAGCTAGGTCAGATCTTAGAGGAGATAACACTCACTACTTGTATCTCCCCTCCCCTCCCCTCTTCCTAGTGACACTTTCATGGGCAATTCTAACTTGGTATAGAGCTAGGTTAGGTTTCCTCCCTAGAAACGCACTTCTGCCTATAGTGTGCCAAAAGAAAATCTCCAAATTCGTGCTTCATAGCCCCCCCCCCCCCCCCCCCCCAACGTCTCCTCCATTTCTTACCCCAGCCAGCCGGACAGCGTGTCAGTTAGCTAACTCACTCGCCAGCCCGCTAGTACGTCAACTATCTCACCAGCTCGCCAGCGCCAATTGCGCCAGCCTGCCAGCTCGCCCTTAGTCCTCCCTTTTGAGCCTGCTGGCCGCCACCAGTCCCTGCTCGCCCCTCGCGTCTCTCGCCAGCCAGCTAGCCGCCCGCTCGCCAGCTAGCTTGCTTGCTAGCCAGCACGCCAGCCAGCTCGTAGGCGCACCAGCCAGCAGCCCTGCTCGTTGTTGGCTCGCCAGCCAGCAGCCGCAAGCAGCCGCTAGCCAGCTCGCCGCTGGCTCGCCAGCCGGCAGCCGCCAGCAGCCGCCAGCCAGCTCGTCGCTGGCTCGCCAGCCAGCAGCCGCCAGCAGTGGCCAGCCAGCTCGCCAGCCAGCAGCCGCTGCCGCTACAGCTGCCGCTGCTGCCGCTCCTCCCACTACCGCCGCCGCTGCCGCCGCTCCTCTCGCTGCCACCGCTGCTGCTGCAGCTGCTGCTACCGCCACTCCTATAGCTGCCGCCGCTGCTGCTGCAGCCGCCACTCCTGCCACTGTCGCTGCTCCTCCCGCTGCTGCCGCTGCTCCTATCGCTGCTGCCGCTGCTGCTACAGCCGTCGCTGCTGCCGCTCCTGCCACTGCCGCTGCTCCTCCCACTGCCGCCGCTGCTGCCGCCGCTCATACCACTATCGCCACTGCCGTTACAGCCGCCGCTACCGCGGCTCGTGCAGCTGCCGCCGCTGCCACTGCAGCTGTCGCTGCTGGCCCGCTGCCGCTGCCTCCTCGCAGCCAGCTAGCCGCGGCCACTGCCACCTGTTACGTCCCACTGCCGCCCGCTGCAGCCAGCTGCCGCCACTACCGCCCGCTGCCGCCCACTGCCGCCCGCTGCAACCAGCTGCCGCCCGCTGCCGCCACTGCTTCTGCAGTCTCTGCCGCAGCCACTGCCGCTGCTGCCATGGCTGCCACTGCCGCTACCGCCGCCGCCGCCGCCGCCGCCGCCGCCGCCGCCGCCGCCGCCGCCGCCGCCGCCGCCGCCGCCGCCGCCGCCGCCGCCGCCGCTGCCGCCGCCCCTGCAGCAGCCGATGCCTCCGCTACCACCGGCTCCCACTGCAGCACCCGCCACTGCTGCCCCTGTAGCAGCTGCTGCCGCTATCTCCACTTCTGCCGCCACTGTCTCCGCTTCTGCCGCCACCGTCTTCACGGCCGCAGCTGCCATCACAGCCGCCAGCATGTCGGCGACCAGCATCCTCATTCTGTGACTACATGGGGAGGGGCGGGGGGTCGGTTTTGCCGCCTGGCAGGAGACAGTCCTCCTGCAGCTGACGAACAAGCGAGTGAATGACGAGTCCCTCGACGCCCACGTCTTTGGTGAGCTCTCTCCTCCTCCCCGCCCGGGCACTCTCATTGCTGACGCGACTTCCGCACAGTAGGCTGCACACGTTGCTGCCCGCGTCGCCTACTCAGTATAGGCATCGTGCGATGCCACTGCTCGTGTCGCCATCCTTTTGTGCCTACCGGTTGATGAGCACTCCCACTTTGTGGGTGCTGCGTCAGACCGTGTCCTCTAGACGGCTATCCTTGCTACGTACTCTACCCCGTCGTCTGCCACTCTTGGTCGTCTTCTCTTCCCTTTCTTCCACCCCGACCTGACTTTCTTGACCACTGCAACAGACTTGGTCGAGCACCTGTGCTCCCTAGAGGCCCGCTGGCGTTCGGCCTGTATTGAGGCCCAGCTGGCACTGGCCCGGCCCCCCCTCTATACCACTATCTACTTCCTTGTCACCCGCATCCCTGACCGCCTTACCACTGCCCGCGTCGCCCTCCTTGCTCACCACCCCTCTTAGATCACCCTTGACCTCTTCTCTACCTCCCTGAGTGAGATTGAGGACCGCTTTTGCGCCATCCTTGCTTCCACTGGCGCGCCAGCGGTCCCTATCTTTCAGGGCATTGCTCCCTCCCAGTTGACTGTCCCTCCTGCCATCGCCTCTTGTCGCCAAGACTGCAGCAGCTACCTCTGCACCAGGCCGCTCCTCGGGAGGCAAGGGCAAGGGCAAAGGGGGCAAGGGTTGTGGGGGGTCGGCAGCTGTGGATGGAGGGTGTGCAGGTGCAGACGGAGAGGGTGGTCAGTCGGAGTGGGGGACTACACAGCAGCAGCAGCCGCAGCCGCAGCAGCAGCAACAACAGCTGCCGTCAGGGCTGGCGGGCCCTGGGAGTGGTGGTCGTGGTGGCGGTCGTGGAGGTTGGGCCCCAGGGCAGTCGGTGCCCTGGGAGTCGCATGGCTCTACTACGTGGCGGCGCGGTGACCTGCACGTCTCAGCTATTGACTGGGCCGTAGGCGGGCCAGGTCTGGGGGCGCACGGAGCACACCACAGCTTGCTGCTACCGCTGCCTGGACGACCTGTACCGCTTTCAGTTGAGCCCGCTGGTAGAGGTACCTCACTGGCCTGCCTTGCTTTGTCGTGGGGTTCCCATTTTTGATATGGATATGGTTTAGATTGATCATGCATGGAATTTGTTGTATGCTAATGACTCTAGTGCTGCTGGTTCTGATTATTCTGTTGTTTGTAGCCTACGAGCCAGTGCTGCGTGTAGTCTAGGATACCCTCCTTCGTCAAGCATAGACTCCCTTGGTGCGTCAGTCGTAGGCTCTGTTAGAGATACCTCACTAGGCACCACCACGTCAGCCCTCTCCGATCTCCTAGACTCTGACGCGTCTCATTGATTCTTTAGAGACAGTATTGCTCTCACCCTGCTCCCTGCGCCTGTCCGCGTCGCACTAGCAGACTCCTCCACCACAGCTGTCCATCACTCTCCCCTGTCCAGCTGTCCCCTCCGGCTCCCTCATCAGTCTGCACATCCCCTTATTTGCCAAGAACCTAGTGGGTGTCGATCACCTCCAAGGCCGAGGAGTCACCACTTGGCCGCGAGAGACATGCATCTTGTACAGACATAGCCACTGGTTGCCACCTAGCCACCTTTGAGCATGACCCAGGGTCCGGTCTCTTCACCCTGCACAATGAGTCCCAGCCAAATGTTGCGTCTGCTGAGGAAGCCGCATCCTGCTCCTGTCGCTCCCTTGCCCACCCGACCCTATTAAACAACCACCGCTTAGGTCACCCTGCACTCCTGCGTCTTAGACACATGTCCCAGGATGGTAGTCACTGGTCTCTCTGTGTTGCTCCCTTCCCTACCTGCATCAGTAGTGCCACTGTGCACCTCCTGCATTGAGGGCCTGCAGCGCACCGCCCCTCACTCCTCGTTTCCTCCTACCACAGTGCCACTACAGACACTGCATGTGGATGTCTGGGAACCTGCCCTGGTCCATTGTCTTAGCCGAGAGCACTACTTCCTAGTCGTCATTGACGACTTCTCGCATTTCACCACCGTGTTCCAGTTGGAGCGGAAGGCCGACGTGCCTACCGTTCTCCTCTCGTGGCTTCTTGCCGTTCGAACCCAGCACCGCCTGTGACTGTGCTGGCGAGTTTGCCTCTGGCCGTCTAGGACAGTTCTGTAGTGCGGAGGGCATCCGCCAGACATACACACTACCGGACTCCCCACAGCAGAATGGGGTTGCTGAGCGACACATCGGCCTGGTCATGGAGGTAGCTCACACCTCCATGGTCCACGCCGGTGCACCCGATTTTCTGTGGCCGTTCGTCGTGGCCTATGCTGCTCACCACCTTAACCTATGGCCGCCCTCCCAATGACTGCAGGTTTCGCTGACCCTTCTCTGGACCGGGTCTCCCGCGTTTCACGTCTGGGGCAGCCTTGCTCACGTCGGTAACTCTGGCGCGGACAAGCTCTCAACCTGCACCCTTCCTGGTGTCTTCCTGGGGTTTCCACGTGATGCCCGTGACTGGTTCTACCACCTGACACACCACTGCTACAACCCCTCTCGAGAAGTTACCTTTGACAAGATGCTCCCCTACTTCAGGTGTTTCCCTCACCGCAGTGCTCCTATCCCTCCTCCTCTCTTCCTCGCCCCTGCCCCATCTGACGCACCCCTCCCACCCCACTTGGCCCCGTCTGGTGTCTCTCATGCCACTCCTTTCTCCTCGGTGGAGCCCATGGGGGAGTCGGCTGACTCTGGGGACCCCGCTGCTGGGAGCGCGCCTGCTGTCCTTGTGGCACCTCCCCCAGCCCTGGTTCCATAGTCACCTCAGTCGCCTTCCCCCTTGCCTCAGAAGCAGCCACAGCAGACTCAGCGGCCGCAGCAGCAGCAGTAGAAGCAGGGGGTAGTGGGCTGTGCGGGTGCTGGTTTTGGAGGTGTTGGTGCTTGGGGTGCTGCTTCTGGGGGTGCGGGTTGTGAGGGTGCTGAATTAGGGGATCATGGTTCTGTGGGTGGTGCGTCTGGTGGTGCTAGTCCTGGGAGTGTTGTTTTGGGGAGTGCCAGTGGTAGCCGAGGTGCAGCTGCAGGTCCTAGAGAGGACGGGGAGCAGGAGCCGCCGCAGCAGCAGGTATAGCACAGCAAGTACAAGTAGGTATAGTATACATCAGGATACAAGGAGCGGAGCTGCTCCTGAGACTAGACCAAGCTGAGCACACAACTGCTGATGGTTACGACGCGGTGGTGCCTTGCTGAAGATATCGACATTATTGGCCTCTGCGGCAAATTGTACTACACGAGCCCGGACACACTGCTGCAACTCACGCAACAGGAAGTACCGCAGCTGGATGTGTTTTGCCGTGCCCTCAAGTCAAGCCTCCTGACACAGGAGGATCATGGCCCTGTTGTCGGCAAACAGGACCGGGGTAGACCTAGGCTTGTAACCTAAGTCAGTGACCAACAACGACAGCGAGCGGAGCTCTTGAGCAGCCATGGCCCCAGTGTAGATCTCTGCCTCACAACTGGACTGAGCTACTGAGGACAACCTAGTGGACCTCCACGAGACTTCACCAGAACCAAGACTAAAAGAGTAGCCTTGAGAGGACCGGAGTGTCTCCATATCGTCAGCCCACGATGCGTCTCTATGTCCAATGAGCACCACTGGCTCCCGTCCTCTTAGTACAAGCCCCAGTCTTGATGTAATCGCCAGGTACCGCAGTACCCTCTTGGCAGCCAACTACTGGACTAGCCGGTGCCTGCCTGTTGCAACAAAGCGAGAAAGGAGACTGAGAGGGTACGCTAGATCTGGTCGAGTGCGGGTCATTAGGCATATGAAGCACCGCACCAGCTGTGCGTATGGAGCACTAGCCTCGACAACTCTGCCGGAACAGTAGCAGAGAGCTTGTGATCCACAAGAGGAGGGTTGGGCTGTGCTGAGGAGAACTGGAGACCGAACCTCTGGAGGATCTGCTGCACCATATGGGACTGGGAGAGTGTGATCGTGTGAGCGGGATGGTCATGAGAGATCTTCAAGCCCAGATAGCGCCTCAGCTCCCCCAAGTCTACACGGGTGTGCCTTCTAAGCAACACGGCCTTCACTGAGGCCAGTGCAACTCTGTTAGGAGTAGCAAAGATATGATAATCTACATACACTAGGATGTAGAACGGGGTCTGACCCGTGCGAATAAAGAGAGGGGCCAGCAAAGGACGGAAAGAACTCCAGCTCAGCAAGTTTGGTGCGAAGCGTGTCGTGCCGCTTACGGGGTGCCTGACAAAGGCCATAGACAAGGCGGCACAGGCTCCACTCGGTCTTGGGAGGGAAGAACCCAGGGAAGCCAAGAGGGCACCGGAGGAAGATCTGCTCGTGCAAACTGCCCTGCACGAAAGCTGTGGAGAAGTCAATTGAGTGAAGCTCATAGTCACGCTGCGCGGCTAGGTGGAGGAGCACCCAAAAAGTAGTCATCTTTGGAGTAGGGGAGAAGGTCTGGCAGAAGTCCACACCCTCTCGCTGACTGAAGCCTCTAGCCACGTAACGCACCTTGAATTTCGGCGGCTCTCCGGGTGCACGCTTCACTCTATAGATCCACATGTCATCGACTAAGTTCGCCCCAGGCAGGGGAACTGCATCGACTTATGTGCCTGTGGATCTGTAGGATGCCATCTCAACCTCCATTGCTTGTATCCATTGGACTGGTCAGGGCCCCCACACTGCCCCTGCATAAGAGCGCGGTACAGGGATGTCGATGGCATCTGGATCGCCCTCTGGGGATACAACCATGGAGCAAAGGTGGGTACAGTGGCAGCAAGGTAGGCCAAGTTGTACTGCCTGTCCTCTAGCACGTCACTGCCAAGGGCAGGTGCACCCCCGATGGATGGGAGGACTGGTTGTACCAGAGACC